AGAGGTGTTCACAATTTTATCTTTATCTTTTAAAATATAATGCATACACAAATATTAAGTATAAGGTTAAAACTTAGTTCTAACACATACCTTTAACTAGCACATTTATAGTTTCACCCATTGAAAAACCAAAGAGAAGTTTGAGCACAAATTATTGTAATTTTGACTTGAAATTTCAGAATGTGACCTTTCCAAGGTGAAGAAGGGAACTGGAGTCTGATGTTCAGCATTTTGACTCTGCAGAAGAACGTTTTTCTTGCAAGTAGCCATGAGAGTAGGAAGTTAGAAGGCAGAGCCAGGAGGTCAGACATAAGAGTCAAGGAAGTATGAATGACATCATCATCCCTAAGTACCCTCTCAGAAGATGAATGAGCTCTCTCTTGTATTACAATGCTAAAGAGCATTAGAAGGTGATATGATATCTAGACAACACATAAGATAAATGCCTCAGAGTATGCTAGAACAGCTTCCCCCCCCCCCCTCCACAAGTACATAAATCCTTTGGTGGTCTCAATAATACAACATGTGGCTGATGAGTATTATATATTGTGGTCAGCTGCTTCTTCACAAAATTCATTTAGATTTAACAAGTACCTTGAACATTATCTAATTTAGTTACTTAAGCCAAATAATTCAGCGTAACTCTAGATACCCTTTAGCTGACTAGACTCACAGACCTTTTGGGACACAGAGTGGATTATTTTCACTAGTAGCTGAATAAAAAGTAAGCAGATGTCAACAGAAGAAATATCCCATCTTTTTTAGAGGTGGCACAAAATGTGTTTATCATCATAAAACTTGACACAAAATGTTTTTGCCATGGTAAAACTTGAAATGCAAGTTTCATGATCTTAATGAATTCCTTCTGAAGGGAATGCATGCCACAAAACATGCAAGGTTGCAGTAATGTTGGTTCAAGGTATGTTCTGTCAGAAGTGGATTCAGTCTGAATTTCAGTCTTTGTGCTTCAAAAGCACAGTCATTCTGGTATGATTTATATAATCTTTCCTACAGTAATTTTGGAATATGCAAAGTTGCAGCAGACTTCAGTGCCCAGCCTCCTCTTTTGCTTATGTAAACACCCCTTAGTATTTTCAGGAGGAAAATTTGATTAAAATATTTAATTGCATTCCTGTTACAAAAATTAAAAAAGTAAAAACCCCTCAGTAGAAAATCAGCTTCAGTTTGAAATAAAAATGGACTCTGGATCTGTGGTGTATAGCTGCATGGAGGGCAGAGTCTCATGCATCATATTTAATCACTGAAGTAATGTTTCTTCTTTTCAATATTTGCTCAATTGTTATTTTTATAGAAATAAAATGATGTTCATTTGAAATAAAATGCAAGACAAGACGACCCTCACTTTAGCTGTAACAAAATGCTGCAAAGTCCTTTATTCTAAGCCAAAAGCTGTCAGACTTTTAGCATTAATAGAAGAGTGGATCTTTCTTGACAAATGCCCCCATAAATTAGATATTAGCTTTACTCAAACTCTGTCTGTCTCAGGAAATATTTCCACTTGCATATTCAATTGGAAGGACCTTACATGATGCCCACTTACTGCTATGAAAATCCAGGCTTCTGAGTTGGAGGCAAAGAAAAATTTCTGTGAACAAAAGAATGTCTGGAATAACAGACCTTGAGCTTATGCAGAGATTTCTCTTTATAGAATGTGAGTTTCACTCACTTTTTGTTATGTCTGTCTGCTGCTGCTCTGTCCACCTATCTATCTGTTTATCTATCACCATTGCAGCGGTAACATGCAGTATCAATTGGATTTTAAAAGACATAGATCTTTTATATTAGCTGTCCTTTTTTATAATACCTTTTACAAATTTAATCAATGCATTTTAATATACAATATAGTTTAAGTGCAATATACAATAAATATTCGAGCTTCATCTTAAACATGCTCTAGCCTTTAAATTGTTAAAACTGCAGTGCCCTTTCAATCTACTTACATAATGTCATAAAATATACATTTCAAGGTAAATGAAGTCAGCTACTTCAATTTAGTCCCTCAAACTGGTAGTAAATGAGAGGTTAACACTATGGTGCCAAACCCATTATTGAGTAAATTTAGCACCTTGGACAGCTCTGTAAAATCTTTATTGCTTTCCTGACCTGCTCGTCATGTTCTGTCTATGTGTTCAGTGGCTCTCAGCTCTGATTGAAAGGCAATATATTAGATCCCGAACACAAACATGCTCGGGGGCTGCTTCACTGTGAGCGTAATGACATGGAGGTGAGAACAATTTTCTGGTCACCGCAATCCAAGCACCTTGCAAGGTCTGTTGCTCTAACTTATAGAGGACTTTTGGGGCTCCTTTGTATGTGGAATTGTAACAGTAGCTTCTATGGTAATTTAAGCAGAGCTGCAAAGGGTTTAAGATGCATTCAGAAAACAAGAAGTTAATATCTTGAGCATGTCTGTAGTAGCATTTTACTGTGTATTTTTAAAGCTAGTTTGTGTCTGTAAGAACTACCGTCAGCTCTGGAATAGAAGATGCCACTATTTGACACAGGAGGTTTTGTGTAACATCTACTTTGTATGATCTGAAAATGTCATAAACAGGAAATGCTTTTACTATGTGAAAATATTGTTAGAGATCTCTAAGTATGAAACTCAAATTTACAGACTCTGAAAATGTTGAAAATAATATAACCATTGACTAGCTAGGAAAATTGAATGCTACTTGTCAAGCGTATTTCAATGAACCATCATGGCAATTAGTTTTATTTACATGCAATATGTTATGGCATCAAACATAACATGTTATGTTATGGCATCAAAGAACTTCCAATGTTTACAGACTGGAATATATTTGATATTAGGTAGAGCATCAGTAAGATTCCATGTAATTACCTCATTTTTTAACATGGTCTTCAGTCTCTTTTTAGATGCATTCTAAGGTTTTTAGCTCAGCATTACATAAATAACTATGATTAGTCAGGTAGAGCAGAAATGACTATTTAAACTTTCTTTTTTTTAGTAATTTGGCATAATGACAGCTTAGGTTAACAATATTCCAGAGCAGTCTGTGGGCTCTGTATCACAGTCTAATTTTCCATCAGTGAAATATATAGTGCAAACAATTTCTACTGAAGTGAAATAAATCCTAGTTTGCAAAGTCAAACACCTGTGCAGTAATTTTTCACCTAAAATCATGAATTGAAAAAGATAACATTTTTCAGTAACATCTCTGTTCTTCTCTAGTTTGTATCTTCAGTATGAGGCAAAAAGGGCAACTCAGTGTTCTGATGATTCTGGTAAAGCAAGGAGGATTGATTGTACCTGGATGTTGTTTGTAGTCTGTCTGTCCATGATTATACTGCTAACTGTTGTGGTCAAGCTACACATAAAAAAACCCACAAAACAACAACCACAACAGAAAGAAAAAAAAAAAAACCCAAACCAACCCAAAAACAACCAGAAAAAGGCTGTAGCAACTTAACTCCTCAGCATCTGTTTCAAATGTAGTGATTTAAAAATCCATCAATTATATATTACATCTCACTTCATATGTGGAAAATAATTTAAATGTGTGTTCTGAGAGAGGGGTGTGTGCAGCAGAAGGCAAGCCTAAATGTTTACTGCGAGTACAAAAATCCTCCATCTCATTTTTGAATTTAGGACATTATATATGTCATAAGTAGTTACTGCAGTATGACAACTATTTTATCGTATATTATAGAGAATTTTAAATTGAAAAAAATGCTAATATGCATCTAAAAGCTTGTCATTTGAAGAGTTGTTCAAGGATTTTTGAAGAGGTTATGGTGACAGCAAAATGAATGCAATTATATCTCTATTTTCTGATCAGAGTCTACAGTATATGAAAATTGAGCATTACTGTTTCTTTTTGGTATAAAATATGGCTATTGTGTAAAATATTTTAAGTTAAAAAGTTTAACTTTGTAGAAAACTATAAAATCCTTAGAACTGGTACTATTTTTGTAAGCTACCTGCAGAAATATACCATGGTGAATAGCATCGTGTTAATATATTAGAGCAATACTTAGGGGCTGGGAATTACGAAAATATATTGTTTTACTCAAAGGACAGTCTCGGCTGGTTTTGATCAGGCAATAGAGAATCTGCTAGATGCTTTGAAAAAATGAGAAAAAAAAATCTTCTGGGTTAAATCTGCAATGCATTTTTACATTTTCTATCAGGATTGTTCATAGAGATTTTTCTACACTGTAAACATTGTAAGAACACAGGAAATACTATTATTACTTGAATACCAGTTTAGAATACTCTAAGAAATAGTAAATGAAAAGGAACAAATAGGAAAATGGAGAGAAAAAAAATTTGCCCCAAATGGAGAACTAAGTCCCAGAGTGTTGTAAATTTTGCTGTCCATGCAGGGAATTTTTTCAGGAAACACTGCACTGCACTGTACTGGGCCATTCTGTCCTAGTGCATGTGTTTTCCTCTTGTGCATCATTTTATGTACATGGATCCTACCCTGACCCATCATATCAGGATACAAACCGAAGAAGTTGAAAGGTTACATTACCATCAGCATAGGACTGATTGGATATCTTTTGTACGTGGCCTGCTGGGTAAGGTCACAATTCCTGCGGTATGCAATTAAGAATAAAATAAACACATTGAAGGGATTCATAACATGCTCTGAATGACATTGATTGCAGTAATCTAGTAAATGACCTCAGGATTGTATTCTGCAATAAACCGATGAGTGGTTTATAGTGCAGATGGTAGAGACAATTGAGTGATGTATTTTATTTTGCAGCACCGATGATTCTCACCTTTTGACTTGATTAAGTGTGTGTGTGAATAGGATGAACTAGTGATTTAACACCATTCAGTGGTTGCTGAGAGTTGTTACAATTAAGGTGTACCTGGTGGGAGGAAACAAAACCCCCCAAAACACGGTGCAACTAATAGAAGAGTATAAAAGATTCTAATATTTGTTTTCCCCCACAAGGAGTTTATTGAACTCAGAGGAATGCATCTGTTTTTATATTGACAGGAAGTAATACTTAAGAGGGCTGCTGATTTAGTAGAAGCACTCTATGGTATGCCACATAATAACCAGGTAAATGCATTCTACTTCAGCAATTCTAAAACATGGCTATTTCTTAGATGTATAGATAGATCAGGGGCTAAAGGTATATAATACGACAATGTGAGACAAGAATAAATATAGAGGGCAATGTCATATCTGGAGTGGGGTTTTGTTTGCTTGTTTTCTTTTTTAAAGGGTGTGAATTTAGTGCTTGTAAAAGCAATGTGTTATTAAGCCTGGAGGCATTTGCCCACTTTCACCAGATACTATATGATATGGGCAATGATATGCATTATGTTGTGCCACCAGAGGTTTTCCAATCTTACCCTGAAGATAGCTTTAAGGTGGAGTAAGTCTAGGCTCCAGCCCCAGTCTGCCAGTTGGTGCTGTTATAAAGAAGTGTGGCCGCTGGGACTGAAACTTCCAAATATCTTACCACAGACGTCAGGATTTATCACAAAGGCAGCAGATCTTATAAGCATTAGCTCTCAGTCAGCCAACTGGTTTAGAAAGAAAAGCATCTAGCTTTTGCCTTTGGACAGAGAAATGTTTCATTTTAGCGTGTAAGAAAAGGTTTGTCAGGATCGCATTGGTAACTCTTTTATTCTTTTTTCCCCTTCTTATCCTCTAGGAAATAATCCTGAAAAGAGCAGCAGACATCGCAGAAGCACTCTACAGTGTCCCCCGCAATCACAACCAGCTCCCCGCCCTTGCTAACACGTCGGTCCATGCAGGAATGATGGGAGTGAATTCCTTTAGTGGTCAACTAGCTGTCAATGTCTCCGAAGCCTCACAAGCCACCAATCAGGGTCAGGAGAAGACTGGTCTTCCTCTCTCTATGAACCTTTTCTGATGAAAGTCAGGGAAACGTGCAGAGCACTGAAAGGGCGATGGTTCAAAACTGAAGGCTAGGAGCTCATGTAGACAGACACCATCCCACATGCATGCGCAACTTTTGAATGACACTACACCGTCATGAGGTGGGGTTGTCTTCAGTGGCTTTTGCCCCAGTTTGGGAAAAGCACTTCTGCGTATATCTAAATAGCTTTTCCTTCTGCTCAGAATAACACTTGTATTTGTGTTTAAATCCCGTTATTTTAAAAGGATTTCTATTGACTTGAGCATGTACTTAATTTTAAGTACTTGCTTATATATATTTCCTGAGCATGGATGATCTCTTAGTCTGGGCCCTATGTAGCATTACTTTGTAACACAAAAGTATCCCTTGAATATTTGTCTGTTTGGTTTCATTTTGCAAGAGACTTAATATCAGCATTGATTTTTTTGTAGAGTTTGAGACTTTTCTAAATTTTGAAACTAGCAAAAATTAGAAATATTTACAAAGACATTTTCAGAGCTGCTTTAATTTTTAAAATAAAGTGGTTTTCACTTTGTATAAAATCAATGTTGGTTTAATTCCTACAGTTAAAAATAATAAAAATTCCCGAGGAACATTTTTGTAAAAACCCTTTACATTTTCCCCCCTCCTTTGCTCAGCTCTATTTATTATCCGACTTAAAAATCCACTTGAATGAGAAACTATTAGAATGAGTCTGTTTTCCAGCAGGGCGGACAAAATCATTTTGCATTACACTAAAAAAATAGAAATGATTTTTAGGTTAAAATACTTTATGGATGTACTGTGTGGTAGGAAGAAAAGTTGGCATTTTTTTCTTCTAGGAGTGAAGATGCATTTTGTATTTCTGTGCTTCTAGAGACAAATCTTCCTTTTTGGGTATTTGGATATGAGTTTCCCCAAACGTCATTTCCAGAATTAGGTAGACATTCAAATTTTAACTTGGTGCCAAATTTGATTGTAATTTTCTACCCACATAATGATCAGGCCAGGGCAAAAAGACTAAGGATATCCCACTACGTTGAGAAATACACCCTACATTTTTTAAAGTGTGCAGCGAGCATCTAATTTGAGATGCCATAAGTGGGAGCGACATCAGAAGAGAGTTAACAAAAATCGCATGCTTTTAACATACCTTAAGTCGGTATGTACTCCTCACTCTGAAAATGTAGGTCATGTTTACTCTGTTTCCTACAAACAGCTCCTGTAGAGTGAGTGTTCCTCTAATATGCAGCGGTGATCTTTGCTTGAGGGCATGGGCTGCCTGAGGAGCTGTGAAGGCTGTCGCCTCCCTCCTCCCCTCACCTAGGCAGTGAGGGTTCACAGTTTGGTTACCTGGTGCTAGCGGTGGCCCGTCCTGGCCCTCCGTGTGCACACCGTGGCTGGACTAGGCTGCTGGCTTGGTAGCCCGGAGTTACTTGCTTGTGGCTGTTTGTGTAAGAAACTCTTCTGGGGCTAATACCAATTTCTAAATGTATTCCCTCCCCACAAAAGGTTTTACTCGCAACTCAAGCAGCGTGTCACCTCATGGCTACGTGCCAAGCACCACCCCTCAGCAGACAAATTATAACTCTGTCACAACAAGCATGAATGGCTATGGGAATGCTGGAATGTCAAATTTAGGCGGTTCTCCAACCTTCCTGAATGGATCTGCTGCCAATTCTCCCTATGCCAGTGAGTATTATGTGGCTTTTCTGTATTTTGCACATTTTCATTAGAAGAAGATGGTGATTTTTCTGTGATACTCAGTATTTAATTTCTATTTTGAGCACCTGAAACAGAGCGTGATCCTTTCTCTCCTCTCCAAGGCAGTGACCTTTGAGGCACTTTGAAGACATTAGCGTTGCCAGCAATTCTCTGCTCTGTTGTTGTTGTTGTTGTTATTATTATTATTATTGTTGTTGTTGTTGTTGTTGTTATTGGTGGTGGTTGTTGTTATTATTATTATCATTATTATTATTATAAGTCTCATAAGAGCTTAAAAGGAATAATGTCTCTCATGACTTGGGCTGATAGTTTCATAACTTACCTTATACCTGTAAATAAGAAACACTGTCCTCAACATTGCTAGAAAGCAGGGATGGCATAAGTGACTTAGTGTCCATTGGAGGGGATCAAAATTCAGTTGTCAGTACACAACTTTTTGTTGCAGTGGGTATGAAAGGAAGCTAAGGATATTTGCTGCAGGAAAAATAGGTTTTTCCAGCTGGAAGATATGAAGGGCAGAAAAGTTAACTGTAATAAGACTGACATTTCCATAAGCTGCATGATGATGTTTCCAAGACCTCTGAGCAAATAATATGTCCATAACCTTTATAGAAATTATGAATTACTATTTGGCCTAATCTTGATGGCTTATACTCCATTTGCTTTGTAAGTAGGTATTATATTGACTTCACTGAGAGCTTAGTACTAGTCAGTAAAATGTAACAATGGCTCTTAGAGTTTGTTTTAGTGTCTGTACAGTGAATGCCACAAAGATGTAAGTCATACAAATCCATGGTGTAAAGAGCTTATGGTCTACAGTCCCAGTTATGGAAATATTTATGTGTAGGACTAACTTTCTGCATTTTGATATTAAAGGTTTAGTAACTTGTTTAAATATAAATACATTTCTATTGGTAAAGGCCTATGAACCTCTTCTGCAGCCACTCGCACAGCTCAGAAATCCCTATGCACATGAGAAAATTAAATGAATAGGACCTGCCCAATTCCTCTGACATTACTCATGTGGCATAAGGGATTCTGCTGACATCTGTAGAAAGCTGCTAGCAGAATCAGGCCAGAAGGTCTTGTCATATAAATAGGTTTATAGGCTGAGACCCTAGCATGAACAGGACAAACAGACTGCTGAACATACCAAGGTTTATGCAGCAAATCTTAAATTTAGTGGTGTAACAGCAGTAATGAATTATTTTGAATTGCATTGCTAGAGTTCAGAATTAAAAAGGGGATAGTAACCCTGATTTAAAAAATTACCTCCAAGGCTTCTTAGCTGCTGCAAATTTAGAAGAAAATATTTACCCACATAACTAGTACTTATAACCTGGGAATTGCTAACCAGTTATTATTTTTGTACTCTAATAATAATGTAGCAAGTAATGTTACAAAGTGCCTTACTTATTAAGTTGAATTTACTGTCACAGAATCTGTGCACTCTGAATTCATAATATAACATGATTGATGAGACATCTCTTTTTGGAGACAGATGCCAGTAATGCATTTAAAATACTCTAGCAGTGTATTATTTCATATTTATGAACGAAGTCCTCTTTAGAATAGCACTTCACTTCCCAGCCCTGGTTCTCTATTCTGGTTATATTTTGGGAGGTTTTCTTGGTAGATCTGTCATTCTGCTAATGCCTAATCCATTGAATCAGAAAATGCTTCAATCATGACCTGAAAATTAAAAGGTGGCATTCTTAATTAAATCAATAAACTAATTGCTGTATAGTAGCAATTCAATTTAGGTGCTTTGATTGCTCTCCCTTAGCAAGTACTTCCAGACACAGAGTGACTTCAGACTAAGATTGTATCTGTCAGACTGTGAAACTTTGAACATTTAATTTCCATTAATTGATTTCCTCAGTGTTAACAAATATGATATCAGATTCTCAAATAAGAACCTAAATAGGGTGATTTTTATCAACATAAATGCAAATAAAATAATAATTCAAAGCCCAGATGATAGGAATTTTACTCTATAATATGTAATTATTCATAGCCCCCTCATGTATATAAGCAGTTTCTAAACAGGACGAAGAATGAAAGTGTGGGATCTTACTATTGGTCCTTTGCTTTTTTTTTGTTGGATAAGAGGGGAAACTAGCAATGCTGTCTGAATATAAAAGTAGTTTGCTTTATTTACCTGAAAACAAATTCACTTAAAACCTCAGTGATAAATACATGAACCAAAGATATTTATCTCACTATACAGTAAAACAACAGTTTAAGGATATATGTATCTAAAATCTGAACCTCCTATAGAGCAGGTCTGCATTTTGGACAATAAGTTCAGTCCCTAAAAAAAAGGAGAGCTTTATGTCTACACTTTTTTAGAAAAACTGAAGACTCTCATTTTATTCAGTCTTGTAGTTAAAGCCAGATCTTCATTTGATATAAACCAGAATGGCTTCATTCAATCTCATGTTCCAGCTGAGATTCCAGTCGATGGCTCTAAATGAAAATGTTGATTGACTGTATTCAGACAGTGGTCATAGATACTCTGGGAGAATTATTTGTCTTGACCATTATAAAACAGACTTTCATTTTCAAAATTCTCCATCTCGGCTGAGATATGACATGCCAACTCCATTCCTGTGCATAAATAAACCGGTCACGTGAGAAATATGAGTGTTTTTCATGTCACTGAGAATTCCTGGGAAGTCCCCACAGCAGAAACTTTCCCAAAGCTGATGGATACAGCGGAGCTGGAGACTGACTTGGTGCTAGTAGTTATAACACAGAGAGCATCTGTGGCCATTGGGAGAAAGGTTTAGTGGTTTCTCCCGTTGGGAGAGGAAGGAAAAGCATGATTTCTGTTAGTTATCCACACGTTTTTTTGTGCCACAGACGCTGAAAACACTAGTGCCAGGAGACCAAAGGAGTAAAAAACTGTCAGAGCAGCCATGTCATAGTTGCTTCATGCTGGACAGCCTCCATATATATATGTGTGTGTGTGTGTGTATATATATATATATACTTTCACAGCTTTTGGAATAACTGCTTTTAAACCCTAGTCCTTGCAGAGTTTGAGAGAGAAAAGAAACCCAAACATTTTTGCTGACGTTTGACAAGCAGGCTGACTGGGTCACCGCTAAGACCTCTCTATACCTTCTGCAAGTTTGCTTGAAACCGCTTAGGGCTTTCTGGAGCCATCTTCCTACAAGGAAAGCATGGCTTAAATTGCTGGTTTGGAAGGCCAGTTAAAAACTCACATTTCCAAGTTAAAAATTCCAGATCCAGATTTGTACTTTAGCCTCTCTCCTTGCCCATCAGTTTTGTAACCCCTGAGTTACCTACACAGTCTGTATTCCCTCTTATCCACCTACAGAAAAATGTTACAAATTCGGACCAGGGTAGTGGCTAATGCCAATCACTAGAAAAGTTGGAAACAAGATGGCAGGACAGGGTTGTTGTAAGAATAAAGAGTTGCAGTGACAAAGAATTAAGGGAGTGTTTAAGAGCTTCTAGAATTACTGCCCCTGAACACCTGCAAAACAAAACAAAACAAGAAGTGGGTTTTCTGTAGCAATTGATCACACTTTGTGAACAAGCAGAAATCTAACTGCAGTAAAGGCCTTGGACATTTGAAATTAGACCCAGTGCATCCAAGAAGCAGAGTTCTCTTGTTTCTACAGCCTGCTGATCATCTAATACTAAGGAATGCTTTTTGGGGGGTCTTTTTTTCCTCTAGTTGTGCCATCAAGTCCGACAATGGCCTCCTCCACTAGCCTCCCCTCAAACTGTAGCAGTTCCTCTGGGATTTTCTCCTTCTCACCAGCCAACATGGTCTCAGCGGTGAAACAGAAGAGTGCTTTTGCGCCTGTCGTGAGACCGCAAACTTCTCCTCCTCCCACCTGCACCAGCACCAATGGCAATAGCCTGCAAGGTAGGTGAAACCAAATCTGGAGCATAGATGGCTGCTCTCAAAACCGTGAGTTCCCAGCGCCTTGCAAGGCTCTAAGCGACACTGAGTTGTCAAAGGGGATAGAAGACAATGGGAGATCCCTGGTGGTCTCTGTCCTAAAGTTTCCTCCTGTAAATAGTAACTGGACTTCACCACCAGCCCACCTAGTACCATGCAGGTGTTTGGCAACCACCCTATCTCTAACTCGACTAATACTGCTGAATTGAGAGGCTGTGTCTTTTAAAGCACAGGCCTACTGTTATGATAAAAATGAGTAATATTTCAGCTTACTAATACCATCCTTTTTCTTTCTTTCCTCTCTTATTCCCTGTTGTCGTCCTTTATCAGACCAGTCTTTTGTGGACTCTAGCAAGTACTCCACTGCAGGGTCTCTCCAGGGGCTGGCCTTCTCCTGAAGTACGTCACTCAATCTTCCCTTCCTTTTTTTCCTTTGTCATAGTACACTTGTGCAGAAATCCTACTGAGAGCAAATAGACTGTTACAGAGCTTGGCTCAAACCTTTGCCTTTCATAAATAGAAGACACATTACACACGAACAGCAGCATTTTCCAGTTTAACTCGTACCAGGGCAAACATTAGTCTCCACTGATTAATGTACTTCTGTGCCAATTAATTCCCTAGATGGCGCAGGGCCTTTTTGAAAGCCTCTTCAACTGTTGGTATCAAGGGGCTGCTCCTTTTCTGCATCCCTTCCCCTCTCATTACAAGGTGTTCCAGCATTAGCACCCAAATACGTTTTGAAGCGTTGATGCCAGCCAAGGGAGTGACAGACAAAAGCTGAGGATGCTGCAAAGACCAGCACTGCCCATTTCATTGTTTGGTTCAGCCTGTTTTACAACACTGTGCCTAAACCTTCCTGTGTAATTACCTCACTACGCATTAGTGTGCCGAGAGAGACCTTTTCATGCTCGCTTAGACCAAGGAGTTTCCATAAGCAGATGCAGCCAGCTGCCTCCAACTGTGCCAGAGGTGGGAAAGATTTTGCGGTATGTGTTGTGCTTCCCCCAGACCTGGAGTCTGTTTTCCTTTCCACGTGCCTGCGCAAATTATCCAAAAAGCATTGAGCAGGGAACAAAATCCTTCATTTTTAAAGCTGTGTTCAGAAGGAGCTGTGCAGAGCAGGGGGAGGATAGTTCCACAGACTCCACATGTCACTCTACAGCCTCTGGAAAGAGAAATGCTGGGCTTGTGGGCATAATGCTGATAGCGCCATTAACAACCAAAAAAAATCTATATGCAGGCGGAGTGGAAGGAATTCATTCATAAAAGCTGGGATCTATTGTGACTGAAGGAAAACACTGTCCTCAGTGCATTTTACACTGGTGAATTGGGAGGAGGAATCCTTGTGGATGTACACACACATACACAGAAATTGTGAATACTAGGAATGTATAAGCAGAACTTGGGTACCTTCAGTCAGGACGTTGTTTTAAATACAGACTGTGTCAGGAATAAAACACAACAAAATTTTCAGATGAGCTGTAGTGTTTGGGAGATTAATTTTTGTGTGTTTTAAAAATTTGGCACTGCCGACAAGCTATAAATTTTAAAGGCAACAGCTAAAAATGTTTCACCTTCATATTAAAAAAATAAAAAAGGAGCTAAGAGTTGTCTGCTAGAAGCTTTTGAACACGCTAATGTTTTTTTCTTCTCTTCATCTTGTCCCAACCTGCTGTTGTGAGTGGAGAGCAAAAGCAAGTAACAGGAGAAAGCTTTTTCAGGCACTGTTTTTCCTTTCACAAGACATGGAATTCCCAGATTCCACATATTCAGTTATGAAAAGCAATTATGGAATGAGCTGAGAGCAGCGGATGCAACTGGGGCTTGCTGATTGCCTCCTCATTATGTCACATCCAGATCTGTAATGCCCAGAAACCACACAGATCTGAGTGTTTCCCCTAATTTTTATTTAGCAATTCAGTTTTCATAATAAGAATGAGACACCAAGAGATGGTTCATTTCTAGGTCATCATGGAACTTCTTGGTGAGTTAAAGACACAGAGCCTTTAGTCCCATGCCTTCTGACACCACCTGAGGCTTGTAATAATCACTCAGAAATGCACCGCCTGTTGTGCCTTATTGCTTAAATAAACAACTATGTATAAGGAGGCTGTCTTATCTCTCTTGGGCTTCTGGATACATGGGGAAGCAATCAAGCTTTCCTTGTGTAGCTTACATATCAGCAGAACTCACTAAAACAACACCTAGAATTAGCTGTTGTTCTCTTTGCCATGCAATTTTGTAAAACTCAAAATACACTATTTCCGTAATTTGCTAGCAGCAAATACAAATTAGTATATGATAGAAGAAATAATGCCTGTTGGTGGGACTTTTTCTACTCTCTGCCCTTCCTTTCTGGAGCTGGTATGATCTCATACCTACACTGTTTCCCACCAATATCTCTGTTTTCAGGATCAATAACATGCTACAGCTGAGAGAATTTGCATGACTAGATGTAGCATTTACAGAATAAAAGTAGAGTGATATAAACGAAGACTTGGAAAAAGTGGAAATATCAAAGACTTTAGGCAGAAAGGATATAATTTTGCCATTTGCCTTGTCATTTAATTCAGAATTTCAGACCTCATCAGAAACAATAATACTTTAAAAAAATGAGCGAAGATCTGCATCTGTAGCATTTGTTTCCAATGGCAAAAGGTGCATAGCTGATGTGTAACTACAGGGAAATGTCTAAGCCATGAAGGGAGGAGTTGCAATTATGTCACCTTTGGGCTCTTACCCAGGGTAGACAGCTGTGCTGTCCCAAGAGAGAGAATTTTTGACCATTTCTTGTTGAAATCGATTTGGTTTTGATGAATCTTTTAGCTTGAGAATTTTTTCTTGGAATAATATTTTGACATTTTCTGAAGTGTAGGTATTTTTTCTAAAGCAAAACAACATCTTGTTTTAAAGTTTCACTAAATTTAGAATTCAGAAAGGGCTGAAAAGGACAAAAAAGGTTAAAGTAGAATGCACAGAGGATTAATTATCCAGCTGACTCTGCTCAGTTACACTCATCACATATAGGAAGACTCTACACATTCCTGTCTGCTCAACTCCTTGTTTATCTGGGCAGTAAAGGAGGGAGCACTGTTGTCAGTATTGCTTTTCTCTGTGCTCTAACATACGGCACTGACATCCAAACACTGCAGTCCCACCCCTATATTCTGCTAAACAACTGCCATCCAGAAATCTCCAAGTGCTTTACTAATAGGGATAAAAATTGTTATCCTCAGGTAAGAAACAGAAACAAATCAAATTGCTTGATGTAATACAACGAGCTAGGAGGAGAACTGGGACAAAACCTGTGTCTTGGGTCCATGCCTTCATGAGTCTTTCATATATTCAGACAGGGAAAATTACACTCTCACCCTTAGCTGTAGGTGGCTGCCTTGCAGGGCTGCCACAGCAGAATTACAGTCTGGTTGACTGTATCCATCACTGTCAATACCTGTTTTACTGATGCCATAGAGGTCCGTGCTTCAGGGTCCATATCCTGACCCACACTCTTAAGGATCCCAAGAGCAGAGTAGGGAGCAACCACAACAGTGAGAGCATTGCTTGGCTTGCGTTTCCTTCATTTTTAGTCACATGAACCAAAGAGACAGCCCAGTTGTGAGGATTCAGAACTTCTTATTTGAGACACTGCTGAAATAAAGCCCTTTGAGACTCTTTTTAAACAAAGCTGCTGTTGTCTCACCCAGTGTTGATTAGCTCAGCTGGTTAGAACGCGGTGCTAAATTGGCAAGGATTCTAAAGAAAAAAGCAATATTGAATTCATCCTATGACTTGCGATGAAGGAGACAGAATAGCTATGGAGATAATAGGAAAATGCATCCACAGATTATCTCCATGGTAGAGCCAAAAAAAAGTCCATGAGAGGAAATACCTCAGCAAGGAACATCTAAGACATGGTGGTGTCCTCTATGCTGCTCACTTGAGTGTCTGCCTGTAGGGCTTAAAGCAACTTAAGTCACCTCTCTCGCTTTTATCCTCATTCTCAGCTCCTTGAAGAACCCATATGTGGAGCGGAAACAGTCAGTACAGTGATTCCACATAAAAACATTGCTGAATGTTAAATTCCAAGAATCGAAATGCTGCTGTACAGTTGCAACATGTCACCTCTGAGGATGGCCTGTTGCAAACATGTGGATGTGTTTTGCATTCTTGCCTTCTCCTCTCATTTTATTTCATTTAATCAGCGCAGTTTACTTGAGCTGTTCTCCCCTTGCTGATTAGACTTGTAATTCTTGCACATATGGTGGTGTTTGTGGAGAAAACATTTCCCTCCTCTCCCCCTCCAACCCCAAATCTGTGAGTCTTTTACTTTGGCTCTGTTCTTATCAAATAATTGCAGCTGTAATTAAAGCACAATGAATCAGCACCAGTCACAGGGTTGAGTTCTTCCTTAAGAAATTATATGTCCAGATGTCTGAGATGGCAGGCAGTTCTAGCATTTAAATAATGTGCCCGTGAAATGCTGCCAACCTGAAGGCGAATCTGTTTTCTACCTTTTGGCAAATAACCGTACAACTAGTATTTTAAAGATGCATTGTTGTTACAGTTTTCATCATAAGCTTGCATGACTACCTCCTGTAATGATGTGCTTGCTCACAGTATACCACTTGGACACTTGGTATGTCTGATCTGCGTAGAGTCCCTGGTAAATAGAGGGAGACCAAGCTGGAGGTCAAGCTAGGTGGAAGACTGTACCTGTTGACTTTTAATGAATGTCTCCTCTTTAAGAGAGGTGGTGGTTTCATAGAAAATTATGTTAGGAAGCATAATAAAGAAATACTGGCGATTCAACTAAGCCAACAAAAGAGAAGGCATTCTAAATTAACACTAACATACGACTCAATGTAGTTGGTGATGTCTGCTACAAGTGTAATAAAGCCATGAGACGCCAGTCTGCTAAACCACCAGTTAAGGACATATTTCAATTTGAAAATTGAATTTGA